CCCTAATCCCCCTGTGAGTTTCCTGTCTACCCTAGACTGAATGATGTAATCAAATTAAAATAAGTATTATGTTAAAAAGAACCAAACAAAAGGTAAAATGACTAAATACATATAATTAATTCTGAATCAATTATCCACCAATTTATAGATGAGAGATCACAAAATCCATGCAGAAAAATCTTTGCTCAGAAACAAAAAGGACATTATAAGAAAGATAAACAAACCATTGGCTAGAAGCTTAGCACCAGAAGTCACCCGGCCTGTGCTTAGTATCTCACCTTGCTGTAGATAAACAGAAAAAAGCACCACACGGTAAATATTAAAATCCACACACTAAATGAATAAGATATAAGGATAGCAATATTTGAAAACAAAGTAACTTAGCAATGATTGTGTAAATAGCATGAACGCATATATTATTGATTACAGATCCAAATTATCCTACCAAGAAAATGTCTTTTTTTTTTCATTTTTATCAAACATAAATTCACTAAGATAAAAAAAAAAAATACAGAATGGTTAACAAATTAATTGTGTAAAACATATAAATAATTATCCCTCACTAAATTCACATTGGCCATCTCAAAAAACATGTTAGCCCATAGCATTTTTCCAATTAAATGGAGCCATATTTTCCAAAAATGCACATTGCAAATACATCCTTTTTCAACCTATGGACCACAATTCCTAAGGCTCCGGCTCAGGTGCCCAAGAGGGCACCAAGCATTTCCCGTTAGATGCAGCCCATTCCAGCGTAGTTCACTTGGAATGCATATCAGAGGCTGCCTATGCAACATCCTAACCACTTTTAACCAAAAGATGCTGATATGGCAAGGATAATACTTTGAGAAAAGTTCCCTTGATGAAACACGGATGGCTCATAGCCCAAATTTGAATGGAGACATGGAAAAATTCTTGCATCTACTGCATATTATCTAAGAGATTTAGATGAAGTGTGGAGGAAGAAAAGACAGTGGAAAATTAGCCTCAAATGTTTGTTCAATAAAATCAATGATCTATGATTGTGCTTCCAAGGGAGTTGGTTATATGAAAGCCTAATTGAGGCCTCTTAGCAACCTCCTGATCTATTACATCATTTTTATAAGTTATTCACCATTTGTTATTTATATTTATCTAATGTTATTTATATTTAAAACTTTTACAATCATTCTTATTACAACATAATTACTATTTTTTACTCTATTCTTGGGATTCCCACGTCAGTATGTAATATTGTGGATTGGAGAGGACTAGGGGAAGAGGATGCATCAAGTTCTTGAAAGGAAGTTAACTGTCACAAAGAGCAGGATGAGCTTAGCACTAGTGACATGAACATGATATATTCGTATGTATAATGACTTTGATAGTTAAACATGAAAAGGAGAGATTGCCATATCATTTGCTAGAAGGGAAAGGTCATTGTTAAACATGGAACATTTAGCATGGAAAATGGAATTTCTAAGATCCATCTGATAATCAAAGCAAGGTGGAGTTTCGAGGTTCCACAATTATGAATTCCAAGTAGATAGGTGGTTTCAGACAACCACATACAACCTTTTGCCTAGCCTCTGGGGGTAGAGATCACATGGTTTAGGAGGGCAATATGCAACCTTCTCCTAGATATTGCAAAGAAGACATCATTTGGAAGGCTCTCATGAAGTAATATGGAGGTCTCCTGACATACTCAGATTTGAATGAGGAAACTGAGGAAATTCTGGAGTTGGTGAATAGAATCTGCAAGGTTTGTTTAATGTTTATAACAATAGAGAAGAAACTGAAGCTTAAAAAAAGGAAGCTTCTAGCATTCCAAAACCAATTAGCAGGAAGGAAGACCTATGTACCCCTAAAAGTTACTAATTTTTCATTTGCAAATAAATATGTTTAGAGGCAAATTAGGACTTCTTTTTCATTTTGATAATTTCAAATAATTAACCACAAAAAAACAAAAACAAAAAAAGAGATGATTCCCAAAAAATTACCAGAAAAAACTCAATATTATCTCCTCAAAAAGGAAAGAACAGTCAACCAAAACCAAATAAAATTAGCTAAAAGTGATGGCCCACAATTACAATGAAACAAACAACATTAGCAAAAAAAACTAAGGAATACAAACAAGTAGAGAAGGCAATACACTACTAATGATTTGCAAAGGAAAAAGACAAAAAAAAATTGACTAAATTACCTCAATATCAGGAGACATGGTGACCTCATCATGTGCGTAATCAACAATGGCCAAAGAACCTCTATTTAATCTTTGAACATCAACTTCCATGGAAGGTGGTGGATAAAGCTCTGGAGAAGGACTTTTTAGGGCAAAATAATCATTACGAGATGGAGGGGAAGGAAGCAGAAGAGTACTCTCGTTAAAAGATTCTGGCACAATCTCTAGTTCTTCATCATCTCCATCCGCCTTCTCTTCCAATTTATCTTCTTCCTTTTCTCTTTCTGCGCTTTCTTCTTTCCCGTTTTCTTCTCTCTCCTCATCCAGGTCTTCCTCTGCATCCATGTCTTCATCATTGTACATGGAGAGGAGAGCTATTCCCTCAGCTTCCTTGCTGCCTGACATTTTAGCGGAACTCCAATTCAAAAACCTTGGTTTATGCCTTTAACCTTAAGGTGGTGTTTGATAACTTTCCCTGCAATTTCCTTGGGAAAATCCCTGCTGTTGATTTTCCTGGATTCTGGGAGGAAGGTTAAAATTGGTAAACCTGAAAGCTGCGAACCTTGTTTGATAAAGCGTGTGCTGGTATTTCCACCTGTTTGGTATTGGGAAAGTTGGAAGCTGCCTCTCTTAATAATCTCCTCATCACAAACATCAAATCCTACACTAGATCCCAACCATCTCCAACTAACACAACTCAGGAAGCTCAAGCTCTCTACAAACTAGATCCTCAACTTCATATTTAATGCTTGTTTTAGCAGTTGAAGTCAACCCATGCTACTTCTGAAGTTTGATTCCTACCACAGAACTACCCAAAAAAGGAATTTTCAAACATCAATTGAGGCATGATGCATAGCTCACTTTTGTTTTTTTTGGGTAGTTCAGTGGGCAGGGCTCAGATTTTCATTTTACAAACTCTTCAAACTTATACTAGTTATTCATTCCATAAAACATTAACAAATGCAATACCATTTCCTTTATTCTTTCCTTGTGGATAGTTCACAAATCTCTCTATCGGTATCCCAAAGTTGCAAACTCCTCGTGTAATTGGACTCAATTTTTAAAATTTACAAAACTCAATTGCAAATTGCGAACTAGAGTACTCCTAAATATCAGTTTATCTTACATTATCACTAATTTTTTCACCACAATAAGCAACAAAAACTTTTTTCCTCCCTTTGTATGTGTAAATTAGACTAATTCACAAACCTTATCATAAAACCTTACGCGATCCAGAAGCTAAGTCCAGGATCGTATCAAATTTTGGGATTAACAAAACAACATTTCACTACCAACTCAATCAAATTCAACATATGTAACTCCTCTCAAGTTTCTAACAACTCTTCCAATTAGTAATATTTTAAGGGTGAGAAATAGAATATGTCATTCCCTCTGCCAAAAAGAATAGCCCCATGAAGTTCCATGCAAAAATTCGTTTACAGGTTATTCTGGAATAGGCATTCTTGAAGGCAACAAAGCTCCTTAATGTATAATAGATTAGCCTCAATAGTATAATAGATTAGCCTCAATAGAAAAATCAATTTTGTATTTAAAAAAAAAAAAAAAGGAAAAGAGAGAGAGAGATAGACTCATTAAAAGCTTTCGAAACACCCACAAGTGCTCCCTATGTGTTTCCAAAGCTCATTATTAAAAAAAAAGTATCATTGATCAGTAAATCCAGCATTCTGAATTGCCCCCCAATGTAAAAGTGAAACAAACTGGAAACCAAAAATTTTTGCACAAAGAGAGAGAGAGAGAGACAGAGGAAACTTGTCAACAAGTTCAGATCCTCTTCATTGTTTCTTTTCACTGAATCAAACTCTAGTAATTGCTAAATGGTGCAGATTCCCAAACGACAAGAAAAAGGTAAGACAAAAAAATAAATAAATCAACCACGATTAAAAGCCCACTGCACCAAACTGAAATCCATACTCACTATATCATCTATAACCATTGGATTAGTCAGAGAAACCAATCACATGCTAACAAAAATTAAACAGTTTTATCAATCAATTAGCCATGAAAAGACACCCAACTAAGCCATGCAACAAGTGATCTCGATCACATAAATCAATGCAAAGAAAGGGGGGCAAAGGGAAAACTCACCTGTAATTATGTTTCAATCATAGCCTTGGGGGTAAGTATGATCCTCAAGCAAAAATCCCATATGCAATTCCGCTTTCTCCCACCTGATCATCAAAGCACCAATCACATACAAGGCGATCACGGCCTGTAAGAGGGAGAGAGCGGGAGGGGTAAGGGAACATAAAGAGAAAGCTATAGAGAGAGAGGAGAGAGAAAATTTGGGGAAAGAAAACATACATATCAAGGAGTGATTGCGGCATGTTAGATAGAGATAGGAGAGAGATAGGGAAAGATAGAGAGAGGGAGAGATTGAGAGAGAGAGAGGGCTTACATGATGGAGCGAAGCAGGGGAAGACAAAGAAAGTAAGGTGGGTTGAAATAGAAAGCCGTGTTTTTTGATGATTCCAAAGAATAACATGAGGGGGTTTGGCGTATGGGATGAGGAAGACAGAGAGGAGGGTGTGGCATACGGCATGAGAAAGAGAGAGGAAGTGCAAGACAAGACCATACTGGTAGAGAGAGAGAGTGAGCAGTGGAGAGAGAGGGAGATTTAACCTGATGCAGCCAAGGAGGAAGAATGCCCACGAGGAGGAAGAACTCCCATCTGCAAGTGCATGTAGTCTTCTTTTCCTCCAAGGGGCAGAAAATCCTAGTTTCAAAAAACCCTAATTTTAGAGAAAGAATGCCTATGATACTGGGGTGAGAGAGAGAGAGAGGGAGGTAGTGGGAGAGAAGGGGTGCACGGTTGGAGAGATATGAGAGTGCAACGGTTTTTGTTGGCACGAGTGAGGGCTAACTTTCACTTAAGGGCATGTTTGATAACTGAAAGGTAAATTATGAATTGGAAATTGGAAGTCCCTCTTTGCTAGGAAGAAAGAAATTACTGTAAGAAATTCTGGGTTTCTGTGTTTGATAACCTATTGGAATGTTAAGAAAGTTACAAGTACATGTGCTTGATAACGCACTGGAAGATTAGGAAGTTCTAAAAAACAAATTACACATCATTCATTACTCAAGTGTGTGTATATATATATATATATATATATATATATA